TTCCCCCACTCTCCGATCACTTTTATTATTGTTATTAACATTGCACCATTAATAATAATGATGATGATGAGGATGATGATGACAAAAAATATTATCAATGATAATAGTAATACAAATATCTTTTTTCTATAAATTTTAAGGAATTAGGTAAATTGTTGAGATTTGATAGGTCCAGTAACTGATTCCTTGGTTAAAAGTGTTTGTGAAGCCACTCATAAGTAAACAAAGGTTTCCATACCGGCAAGATTAACCATTTTACTTCCTGACTCGATTTTAGTCAAGCCACTAAAAACTATGGCAGTCAGCCGGTGTATTTTCATATACTGGTATCAACATGCAAAATATTCACCTGACACCCTATGTAACCAGTGTATCTCATCTCAGCAGCTGGCATTCTGGCCGTGCCCTGTACTTTCCCAATAAGGGTCATTCTTATCAACCTGCAAGAATTACAAGTTCTATGACCCTCAATTCAATGACATTTGATGTAAGTTGATCGTCTACAAGTCAGTTTTCTAGATGCTTTTTTACTGCTATTTGTAGACTTTGGAATAGATTGCCTTCAGAGATTGTAACTTCTTTGACTCTTGATAAGTTTAAAACGTCGGCTAACATGTTTTTCTTACGTAATTAGCTGACTTTCTTTTTTTCATTCTTTCTTAGCTGTATCTTGACCTGCACTGACACCTTTGGTGGTATAAATCTCAATTTTTTCAGTTTGGCTCTTTATATAGTTTACTATAATAATAATAATAATAATAATAATTCTGGCCTTTCTACTTGTAACCTGGCTTGCGACTGACGGCATCCAGGGCAACTTTCCATGGCTCTTGTTTTAAAGTACAGTCCTACTACTTTGCTATTAGGGGCACATTAGTTCTTTATTCTTGATTATTGTATTTTTTCTAACTTTACAAACGTTTTGTATTTTGTTCAAATGAAGGAACTCACCAGAAAAAAAAAAAAAAAAAAAAAAAAAAAAAAAAAAAAAAAAGGAAAGGGGCATAAAAGAGGTAAGGGAGGGAGAAAAATAAAGGTGAGAGAGAGAGAGGGGGAAAGGGAAAAGGAAGGAGAGATAGGAAGAAAGAGAGACAGGGAGGGGGCTATGATACAGGGAGAGGGAGGGAGAGAGGGAGAGAGGGAGAGAGGAGAGAGGGAGGGAGGAGGGAGGGAGGGAGGGAGGGAGGGAGGGAGAGAGAGAGAGAGAGAGAGAGAGAGAGAGAGAGAGAGAGAGAGAGAGAGAGAGAGAGAGAGAGAGAGAGAGAAGAGAGAGAGAGAGAGAGAGAAGTGTGTGTGTGTGTGTGTGTGTGTGTGTGTGTGTGTGTGTGTGTGTGTGTGTGTGTGTGTGTGTGTGTGTGTGTGTGTGTGTGTGTGTGTGTGTGTGTGTGTGTGTGTGTGTGTGTGTGTGTGTGTGTGTGTGTGTGTGTGTGTGTGTGTGTGTGTGTGTGTGTGTGTGTGTGTGTGTGTGTGTGTGTGTGTGTGTGTGTGTGTGTGTGTGTGTGTCGTGTGTGTGTGTGTGTGTGTGTGTGTGTGTGTGTGTGTGTGTGTGTGTGTGTGTGTGTGTGTGTGTGTGTGTGTTGTGTGTGTGTGTGTGTGTGTGTGTGCTGTGTGTGTGTGTGTGTGTGTGTGTGTGTGTGTGTTTGTGTGTGTGTGTGTATGTTGTGTGTGTTTGTGTGTGTGTGTGTTAGTGTGTGTGTGTGTTAGTGTGTGCGTGTGTTAGTGTGAGTTGCAAGAATGTAGCGGGGGTGGTTACAAGATTACAAACACAAAAGGTTTCTCCTCATATGTCTTGTCTAGCAGGCATGAAACTTCCTTGTAAGGACAGGCTCTACAAAAGAAATATATCAAATACTTTTGATATTAAATATAAAATCCTTCAAGATATCAAAGATAGACAGATAAGAGAAGGAAACAAATATATCAAACAGAGTGAAATAGAGAGAAAAGAAGGACGGAGGGGAAGAGAGGGGGGTAAGATCAGAGGGAAAGTGCATGTGTGTCTGCTTGCGAGTGTATTTGTATGTGAGCATTTGTGTGCCTGTTGTTTACTCATTTGAATTAAAGTGCACGAACAGTAAAGAAAATCCATTTAAGTGCTTTCTCACCTGACAAAATGTTCAACATGCTGCATACTTTCTTCGTAATTCTTTCCTCCAACTTCCTGGCAGTGGAGTGCTATGAACTGTGGCTCATGGTCCTCTACAGTCTACGGAATAAAAATCACAACATTAATATATACATATCGTAATAATGAAGATCTAATCTGATAATCCTAAAAAACAACAAAAGGGGGTGGCTGAGAAACAGAAAGAAAAAAAGAAATAATACCAAAGTCACAGAGGATAAAAATAATAAATGCTTGATAAGGATACAAACATGATAAATAGTATAGAATCTCTTAGTGACCATGAAATTAATTATATTTGCAATCAAAAACAATCCTAAATAAGCAAGATAGTTCTCTCTCTTATCATTCTTTCATAAAAAATGTTATAACTAA